TATTTAAAAAAAACGCCCCCAAGATATTAGACAAATCTTCTCTGCTTTATTTTGTAAGAAGAAACCGGATGTTACAATGTACAGATAATTAGATTATGGTATATTGACTCATATACCATAATGGCTAAGCCAATAAAAAGTCTTGAATTGCATTATCCAATGATCCAGTTTTTAATAATAATCCTTTAACCCTTTCACTTCCTGGAGTGACCAAGACAGAATTTCTCCTTACCGTATCAATACAATATCAAGCAGTTAAGTGATGAGAATAAAGAAAAATATGGATGAGGGGATTATTGGTGGATTGAAGACTAAATTCTCCAAACGTCATAAGAATTGTATGGCAGACTGTAAGGAGTATTACTATTGAGATCTTTGGAATCACCGCCCCACGGTTAGCTCAATTGGTGAGAGTGCCAGATTGTGTTGTGCGGGAGGTCATGGGTTCAAGCCCCGGCCGGACCAATACTCATGGTTTTAAAATAACTGAGGAGAATTTGCTACCTTTCTATAATATCAAGAAATGGATAGGTATTCCAATCTTCCCAGATAAGGACGAATAAAACCGTAGGTCCCATCTCCTGCAGGGTTAGGGGTAGATGTTAACTTCCCATGCACGAGACTACTGTGTGATGGATGTCCTCCCTGGGGTGGGATGGTGGGTACAAAGGGGCTAGGTGTCAATTGGGACGAAAGTTCTGTTCCTTTCTCCTGCCAATCCCGTGGCGAACAAATTAAATTCTTAAAGTGCTACTGCGACGAAATTTTTGCGATTTATTTTCCCAATTTTCTGGTGTTAACTTTACATTTAGACCCTAAACTACAAGCGTAAGTTTCTCAAATTTGACAATGTTATTCCTTAAAAACAGTGCCACGAAGACATTAAAAATTCTTCTCCCATTGCTCGAATAACACACTGGATAGCCCTCGAAAATAACTACAGTGGTTTTAGTTGTGGCGTCATTGACTCACTTCGACAACGTCGTGAAGGCATGGCTTTACAAGAAATATGCAAAAGAAAGCTGGGGAACAATTCTTTCGAATTTTATTCCTTCTTTCCTGCGGAACCAGAAAAACAACTCTCTCTCAGCATATCAAATTAGCCACGTTTGTTGAGTCATTGACATCACTTCCATTCTGGACCCAGTTTCTTCCTCTTCCCGCGGAGTTCTGTAGTTCGAAAAATGGTGGCCGTTTAGATCGTGAATCTACAGGGAAAATAATATTACCTCTTGATGGAGTTTTGCCTTAAGATTTGGCAAATTTGTTACTTAGGGTAAGTACTTTCAACCCCTGAGGAGAAAAGAAAAGGTGCATTTTTGGTCGCAGTAGCACTTTAATTCTTAACAGTTAAACCTCTAAGAGTGACCAGCATCTAATTTCTCCTTACAATATCATCTCTGAATCACTCACTAAGGTCAGGAGAATAAAGGAAATGATCACCTACATGTACTAAATTAGCTCCAGATTGTTTAAAAAATTCTCCTTGTCAGCACCTTGGGAAATGTTTAGAGAACAGTATGGAGAATATGCATACTGATGTTAGGCTGAAAAGGTCCTTAGGAATTGTATAGAGAACAGTATGGAGAATATGCATATATATATATATATATAGTTTGAGCACTCTGGCATGGCTTAGACGATACCACAAAGGTTGGATCGTTTGGGGTGACCATATTGGTTCTCCTCCATCCTAGCATTAGCACTGCACTGATGAGGCCCAGAAGGCCGAAACAGTACTGTCTGCAGTTAGTTATATATATATATATATATATATATAACCAA